ACATTACTGGGTCCCATGGTCATATGAACCCCTTTTGCAACCTTTTGATGAGTAAAACAATGGGAGACACAGATTCATTTAACAACCGTTACTAATTTATCAACTGCAGTGATTCACTTACCAACGGTGGCGAGAAAGGTTATAAAATGGTGCAAAATTAATTAACAAATGTCTCACTGAGCAGAAATGTTGGGGTCAATTGTTGAAGACTACTTGTATTTTTAGCCAGAGCCATTGTCAATTCACCATTTCTTCCCTGGAAATTTTTATCTTTTTAGTTGTAGCATGTAGTGAAAAAACTTGCATCTGTTCTTCAATGGTCCTAGGTTAGGCCAGTCTATTTTTTGTAATATCTCCTCTGGGCAACCTAATATAATGATTTGATATTAGGTCAAATCACGTTAATGTCTATATCATTAGATTCATGGCACATTAATTATGTATTGCAAGCATACAATGAACTGGGAATTAACTATTGAGTTGAGGGAAATGAAATATAGAAGGCAAGATGCTGATAAGTACTGTAATACTAATTGCCGTTCATGAAATAATTACAGAGACACCCCACTAAATTACTCACTGGATTAATACATTATTATTATTTTTTTAATGTCCCAGTTTATATCAAAGAAGACATTGTTGAAAATCTTGATGACATGTAATTCAGCTGTTTTCTATTGAAATTGTTTCTGAGATTTCTATTATTTTTTAAAATTGCATTTCTGATAGCATCAAATCCAAAAATTTATAGCTTATTAGCTATAAATAATTGTTGATAATAAGCATGGTCATTCTTGTAACTTTTTATATATTGGGTCAATGATACAACTAAGCCAGTGTTTTTGGAAATGCAAAGAATTATTTACAAGGGTGAAAAGAAGTGCTAATGTGGATGCCCACCAAACATTTATTTTTAGGAATTCTGAAGTTTTGCTGTTTGAACTGAAATATGAATATTTGGATTTCTAAGAGTGAAACAGAGGGGCATTCAGGAAGGAGATTATCTATTAGCGGATTTACAGATCATCACCTATAGATGTATCTTGAGTAAGTCATAGAATGTTTGTCCCAAGAATTGGTAATTAGCATGTTAATATTGGTAGAATTAAATCTAGCTAGGAAATGAGTAACTGGATATCAAAACATTCAACTATCTTCACATAAAAAAGTTTTTTGAAACATGGTTCAATTCTGTCATGCATAACTTTTTAGTGAATGGAAGGTTTCACATGAAGAATTATTGTTGCAACTAGGGGTGGGATCCGACAGGGTTAACTACCAGTTCGGTGATTTACGAGGTTCGGTGATTTATGATGTGCTTCCTTGCATGCTGCAAGCATGCCTGTAAATCATCATCAGCCTGGACAGCTGAGCAGCAGCTGCGTGCTGATAAGCAGCCTTTGAAAAAGTACTTTTTTCCTGCTTTTTTAACTGCAGCTGTGCCTCGCTTGGCAGCTAAACTTGAAAAAGCAGGAAATAAAGGTCAGGTAAGAGCCCAGGCGGGTGGGTGGACAAAAACAGTTCTATGTCTGCTGCTCTTCAGAGCTACTGGTTCTACAGAGGTAGACAGAACCAGTAGGAGCCCACCCCTGGTTGCAACTATGGACATTTTTATAAACTAAATACTAAATACCTTTAAATACTTTTGTTAAGTATTCTTTGTATCAAATCAATATTTAGTTCACTTATTGGGATGTTAAGAAAAAGGAGCATGATCAGGATGTAAGGACTCAAGCAAAGCTGATGAATTAGTGAAATATAGAGATTGTTTCATGGATGTCACTGGTTGCATTTGAAGACTGTTTCCGGAAATAGCCATTGGATATTAAACATGATTTGAAACAATGGGTAACTTATTAGATCAAACAGGCCTGAGTTGCATATCAGAAGAGGGACCTTTGTGTAAGGAAAGAACCTCATTTATGGCAGGAGTCTTCTAAAAATGAAATCATAAAGTGGCCAAAGTAGTCTACAAGTATTGGGTTGGATAGTTTGAAAGCAGTATTCTACAATGTTTCAAGACAAAAGATGCATTGTAAGGGTAGAGAATAGTGATCATTTGGAAAAGAGAGCACATATGAGAAGAGACATTTGTATATATGGAAACCAGGAAATCAGGTGACAGGGAACTGGCAGAGAACAAGGGATGTAGGTGATCATTTTTGTCCATGGGCTTATCTGTTGTTTTGGGTGGCTCTGAGATAGGAAAGTTAAGATAGAGAAGTAGAAGTCTGAACAGAGCTGTCCACCATAACAGAATCTGAGCTATTTAGCTATAGCTGCTGGAAAGCAAGTGATAGACTATAGAAGTATTCCATCTGCCATTGACAGGATGAAGGAGATGCATGCCACTTGGGAAGAAGATGTGTTGTTCTTGATAAATCATAGTTAGGAAAAGCTAGATCATCGTCTTGATTGCTGTTTGAAACAAGTCCACTTTTGAATTTATGAGAAGACAGATTTGGGTCTTCTGGACAATAATTGTAAGGCCATTGGGAAGCAAGCTAGCCAAAACCTGCCTTAATTCTATAACCTCAGAAGAACAAAAAAATTGACCATTCCTGGGTAGCAAGACAAAAGAGTTCTATATTTAAGTGTAGGACAGCAGAAGAAAATTAATTCATTCTGGCAGGGATTCTGTTTTTGCCTTTCTAGGATAGCCTCTCTGGGATAGGAGCCAAACTCTTATCTGTATCTTTTCCTCCAGTTCTTCTCTTAGCAGTGAGCCCAACATAAGTAGGCACTAATAAAGGATTATTGGTCAGGTCTTTGGAAACTTAGCTAGGTCATTCTCCATTTTCATGAGCATAGATTAGATATGCAGATATTAAATGTAAGTATAATGTCTCTGGAGTTTGGAAAAACTTTACCTTTATAAATCCACTGGACAAATTGGGATACACAGCAGCTAGTGCAAATAAATTGTTGGGTTTTTGTTTTTGTTTTTTTAGAAAAGCCACATTTGAAGATATGTGTTGCATTATTTTGGATAATAAGAATAATTTGAGTTGTAAAATGTATCATGACACAACTTAATTTATCTCAGTGGGGTGAATTCAACTAATTTTCTTATTTACTGGAATGCCTCTTAGGGGATATTCTAAAAGATATAGAAAAGAGTTCATTTTTGCTAGAGAAACTATGCTAGAGAATCTATGTCATCAATAAAATGCTGATAGGCCATGAATTCAGCCCTGAAATGCAGAGTATTATGTGCACTATAGTTTTTTTTAGCTACTTTGTTGAGTCAGCAAAAACATTTCTTGCAGAGAAAGGGGGGGGGGGGGTAGGCATATCCCATCCATTTTTATTTTCTGCTTTTACCTTTACCTCATAAACTGCAACCTCTTATAAATAACCATAAGTTCAAGGTGGTTGTTTAAGAAAAGTAAATCTTACTTACTAACATGAAGTCTGAGTCTGGAACCAATAATCAATTCTTAATTGTGTCGAAGCTACTCCTTCCCCCTTTTCTCTTTGGATTTAGAAAGACATTCAACAAAACCAATCACAAGTTATAAGAAATTAATCAGCAAATTAAAAGCTTAACTACACAAAAATAACATTTTTAAAAAGATACAACTGGAGGAGATAAGGTTCAGGGAGATATCTCACCAGTTACAACCAAAAACAAAAATCAACCTGAGGCCTGCTTTGGGAGTACTAGTCTGGGAGCAGTTGAAGGGAATTCTAGACCAGTGCTTGTAATCAGCATTCAAATCATCATAAATTAACTCCAAGGTCAACTTCAGACCAACAAGCAATAAGCAATACCCCAATCAAGAAACTGTCAAAGAGCCATCAGTAAACAGCCCAACCAAAGAATTCCTAAGACTGCCCCCATCCATACAGACAGGCAAGACACCAGAATATAAACTGACAATAAGCAGCACTTCTTACTAGCACTGATAATGTTACCTAATTAGGATAATGAAACATCCACAGGAAAACAAACAAGCTCAGAGATCTCCAGGGACCCCTCATTTCAACGCTAAGCTACAAATATTCTCCTTTATTAGTTCTAAACCAGTTAGGAAATGAAAAGGAGGAGGAGGAGGAGGAGGAGGAGGTGATTATTCATACTATATGGACAGCAAACCACTCTGTGAGGTGAAGAAGAACTGAAATAAGCATCAGTTATCAAGAGCCAGTGAAAGCAAAGTGATTTTGGAACGAGAAAAGTCCCACCACAACTGGCCACTCTCACCCTGGGAGTTTCTGCTATGGTGATTTAGGAAACAGGAACTAGTTTTCATGTCCCTGTGCTACTATTCTGTAAAGAGGCTAAGTTACACCACCAGCATCTTGCATAAATTCTATTCTGCAACCTCAGATTTACAACCTTGGATCAATAATAAGTGTCCCCAGGTGACTGCAATCATTTTTTTTCTAGAAACTCTATATTTCAAGGAAAGCCATGGGCTCAGAAACAAGCAGCCTTAGTTAGGATTAAGATTGGCCGCCTACAAAGGTTAATATAGTACTTTATGTATATCTGCTTCAGGAATAAAGTTTTTTATGTTTCTGAAATTGTTTATATATTCTTTTGTTGTAATGAATAACATAAGGCCATTTCTCATATTGACCAGGTGGTTGTATCCAATCTGGGTTTACAAAATGGTTCTCTCTGATTTGTTGTTCATTTGTTTTTCTAGCCATCATAAGCTTTCTGTTTGTCAACTCTCTATCAATGTAACAGAAAGATAGTTCATTATTTAATATAGTCCACATTAAATTTGTGTCTAAAAATAAAGCTGAATTATTTTCTTATGAAATACATTTTTATTGCATCCTCTTTATTGATCTTATTTTGTTCACATAAAATAAAAAAATATGTGACGTGTCTTTGTTTGATCTATACAATGAAATGCATAGCTTGCCAGACCTTGTGCGTTAAATCTTTATAATTTTTCCTTCTATGTATGTATACATATGTACCGTATATACACTTTTAAACAATGATATTTTCTAATGTTTGACGTGGTCTGCTTTATTTCCAGACAAAAGAGGAAGACATAAATAATGACATGCCTGCAATACATGGAGAACTAGTTGTGGTTGTGGTACCTTTTCTTCCAAGAGCTGCTTCTATTGAGTGGCATGTCATTGCAGTTGTAGACCAACAACAACAGAGGCAAAAACTTACACAGATGAGGTCACTGGAAAGCTGCCAAATTAGATGTGAGGCTGTGCAATCCTATCCAACATGTGCTACTGCTGTTACCATATCTTTAACTCTGACTTCATCATCAGCTTCTACAGTCAATTTAGATGTAGTCCTGCATGGTATGGTGGAAATGTTTAAACAAGTTGTAGAGAAGATGTCAAAATATGGTGACATAACTCCATTAAGTTTTAGAACATTCTTCCGAACAAATATTATCGAAAGGGAACCACTGAAAACAGGTAAGTCTGTCACATTTATTTTAAAGTACCCTGAAAAAAATGTGAAATAATGAAGCGGTTTTGTCTTTGTTTTGTGGATGTATGGTCTACTTAGGATTTCCCAATAATCCGTCATTTCTCAAAAAACATTAAACAATAAAGAATTGAAACCCAAATGTTGAACTAGATTTTCTTAGTTTCAGAAATGTATTCAGTGCCAGGGTCAAAACATCTCATTTAAATTGAATTTTAAAAGCCGAACGTTTATATATATATTTTCAAATTTTTCAAATAGCTCATTTAACAACAAGTTTTTTTTAGGTGTTTCTAAAATATAGTGTGTCAAAGATTAAGACTGCTCTATGACTCCAGGCTTGGGAAATACAGAATATAATATAGCAAAAACCTGCTAATTTGTTCTTGATTATATGCTGGAAACCAGTATTGCTATGGGAAACCCCTTGTACCCAGGTTCTGTGCAGAAAAAGAATTGCGATTTTCAGTGTCTTGCCTTTTAAATCTCTATAGAGCGTTATAAATCTGCGGGTATAGCTCAGGCACTGATAACTTCCAAATGTGCAAACATGAAAAAGAGATAGATGTAAAGCTCAACTATCCATATTAATTAACTGACATAAATGTTACCTCTCAAAGATTGTATCATCCTATTTTTATATCTAACCTGCAGCATTATTCAGGGGAAATTCAAGTTGACATTGCTTAATCGATTTAAAATATAAAAACAGGATGGAATAAACTTGTGACATGAAATGAACACAGCTTGTGCATGAAAGAAGAAATTAAAATATAACCTGACAGGCTATTATTTGTGGCACAATAGTTTGTTTTAAACACAAATAGAATATGCTTTTAGACTGAATTATTTGTTCTCTTCTTCAGGGTCTTTGAAGGGGTTTACAAGAATTCTTATGATTTGATTTGTGTTCATAGTAACTTTGGTCCAGTAATTTCATATATCCCAATCTTAGAAGCAGAAAATTTGGAGAAATATCAAAAGTCCACATAATTCTGTATCAGCCACCAGAATAATTTTTATTGCAGGGGGTAGAAACTTGTTAAATAAACAAAGACACAAAAATCACAAAGGGCCTTCTGCCAGTTTTGCTTCGTTTACCAATCTATGATTGTTTCAGCAGAGTGATTAGTCTGTCACAGTGTTGCATGCCTTGATAATCTTTCAGTATTTGTAGAGTGCTTTATATAGGGCTGGCTTTGAAGAAAACCAGCAATTTCAGTGGATGCAAATGCAGTTTCCAATTGGCCCTGAGAGTTGGATTTATTGGCTACTTAATCGAACAAATGAAGGAATTCCTTTCCATACACTAACTTGTACATGCCTTAAATTTTTCAAAAGAGAACAGCCCATTGCAACTCACAAACACAAAATCTAAAAATATGGATTCTCTCTGTGTTGCAACAGATTACATTTTAACTAATGTTACTGATGTCAGAAAAGGTAAAGATTGGTGCTCAAACAGGAGAAAGGTAACTTTCTGTCAGTCAAAGATGAAATGTAAAGTTGTATTAAAGCAAGTGTGATCCTAATGGTGAACTTCTGTGTAACAATTCCACCTACCAAATGAGGGCATTATAGGCTTTGTGTTGAAAGCACAGGGTATGGTAAATTCTTGAGGATTAGATTAAGCCGAAATATATATATATATATACACACACACTTCATAGAATACTTTAATGCTTCTAGAAGGTTTTAGCATAAATTATGACTATTTATTTCCATATTCTCATTTACAAGTTCATTAATATGACAACCAGGCAAATTAGGTTATTTCTCAGCATGTATACTTTCTCGCTGTTAAGACTTTAGGAAGCCTTGTTCATAGTCATTATACAAAAATATAGAAAGATATAAATTACTAATCCTATTCTTTGTAGAGAAATCAGCAGAATAGAAGGCAACGTGATAAAATACTTGCTTAATCTCTGGTGTAGTTTGTAACTCTGAACTGCTATGAAATCATCTACAGGACAAACTGTCTTACAAGGAGCATCATAAATATTTTCATAAGGTAGTATTAAAAATGAAAACTGAAGCAGAAAACTTTAATCCTATCCATAGAGAGAATGTCATGCAATAAAAACATGACTAGATTCACAGCTAAGGGTGGCTGCAGAAGCATTCCATGATTAAAAGGCAGCAACTAGCAAAGATGGCAACTCTACATTTGCCATCTCAACTGAATGAGTAAATAGAAACTGTTTCAGTGCAGTGTGGGTGATTATGTTTAGTCATGTCGACTACCAGGACTGTGATCCAATTTCATTCCACTTCTTAACTGTGCTTAAAAACAATATCTGAATTAAGTAGACAGGGTTGGACTAAAAATACCCTCTGAGGGACCTTTCAACTCTAGAATTACAATTGTTTGAAATAATTTTTCCAATAATTTTTAGTCCCACTTTGTTTGATACATTTGGAACATTTCATAATGGCCAGACAGTTAAAAAAAACACCACCTTGATTTGTTCTAAGAAGTCTGTTTACTTATAATTTCCAATAAAATGAAATAATACTGTCACACATTTTTTTAAAAAATCCCAAAAGGTCCAAACACTTTTTATTGATATAAAGTGGAAAAACTCTCTTTAGCCTACATGAGTGAGTAGTAAGCAAGGATTTTAATAGTTGATAAAAATTCTTACTTGACCTTCTGAATGCTAACTGTCACTCTTGGTGTTTATCATTGTTTTATTCCTTCCACACCAAAGTATGGCATGCAATTTTATTTCATTTTCACTGTAACATTATTTGCATAAGGATTTCTGTCAAAACTCTTTTCATAGAGTGCCTTGCCACAGTTTCTTTCAGTAGAAGACATTGAGATACTAGAAGTGTCTCAGGGATTCAGGCCAAAATGTATGTAAATAAGGTGGTAACAATTTTGGATATATTATTATGATAGCCTTTGTTCAAAGATATCTGTTAGTAGCTCATATGCCCTTTATAATCTTGAGAATTAGATGGGATCTTTCAGAAGATATATTAGAAAATTCTGATTACAAGAGGTGTAAACTTATGACGTGTCCTATTCCACTCTTAATTTTGTTGCCCTTCTCAAAATGGAGATTGGAGCTCAGTAGATCTTTGACCAAAGGATACTTTTCTTTAAAAGGGGAGAGTGGGCTGAAATCAGCATTGACATATATCAGCAAGCAAAGCTACTATAACTTCATATGCTAATATGGAAATTGCACAGAACTTTCCTAAGGTTCTGCTATGAAAATCATAGCATGCAATCGTTTGTATGGGATGTGTTTAACTTCCTTAGGTCTTCTGAAAAATACTAGTAGTACTAATGACTCTCTTCCAAATCAGTGGTCTATTTTCCTCTTTTTCATTTAAAATGAATAACAACATCCAGATTAGTCAGGGTTAATAGAAGAGAGAGAACCTGGAAGAGAACCTGGTGAACTTCAAAACATGTGTCTCAAAATCATTCCAATACTTGGGAGAAATAGTAATCCATGCTATCCATGTAGTCCATTTTTCTGATCAGGGAAAGTATTGAGAAGAAAGCATAACCCTTGATCATCAGCTATGAGTCCCACTAGTCAGTTAGCTCAACAAAAGATGGTAACATCTCTTGGACCTTTCATGTTTCATTCACTGGAAATCTAATAAACAGACTGGGTGTTTTGTTTTGTTTTTAAAATAGCATACTCCGGAACAAGTAATTGCAAGAATAATGGATTTTTCAAAAGTGAATGGACATATAT